AATTTCTAGTCGACTACTCTTCAGACCTAGTCGACTTATGCGGAGACAGCCTGCACAGAACTGTTAGTCCTTTCGATTTAAATAAGTATTAATCACAGTAAACAGTAAAGGAACAGAATATAGTATAAGAGCGATAAAGTAAATGACACCAGGAATTTTATACTGGTTCGGAACCAATGTGGTATCCTAATCCAGTCTCCTTGGGTTGCAAGGATGTCATCTCTTGAGCTCTTTGTAATTTGTGTTGAGTACAGCTTGTGTGATTTCCAACGTTCACCACCAACGTTTACAGGGTTGGTTTTCCCTCGCTCACCAACAACGACCCTTTGGTTTTCATTCGCTCACCAAAGAAACGAACAATGACACAACATCTCCGGACACACTGCCTCTCCAATTTTTCTGTCTCTCTTCTCTCTTTTGTGTACACAGTAAATCTACTAAAGTGAATTACAATGCTTGTTAAGAGTAGAATAAAGAGCTTGTAGTTGGATAGACAATTGTATAGAAGGCTCTTCAACTTATATTGTTGCCTCCAATATGACCGTTGCTGATTTTTCTCATTAAATGTAGAATATAATGGTCAATGATATATGATGGCTTTCCTTCTTAAGGAAATCTTCTTTGTGCTCCTTTAACAGATTTTTCCTAATCTTGATTCTTTCCCACAAATAAATATTCTTTCCTTGTGTAGTAAGTCCCAAGCAATCTTTTTATTCCATCCAAATTGCTTCTTCTTTTCTTCATAATTGTAAATTTCCTTTCAGAGCTTTGCTCCTCTTCCTTTATGGTCAATATTGGCTCGATGCTGCCTCTTGACTTATGGAAATAAAATCTCGCTTTGTCTCCTTTTTTTCTTTCAAGATTGATTTGCTGCTTCCCTTCTTTACATAGATCTTGAAAATATAATTTATTTCCATATCAAAATCTTGTAGTGACTTGGCAAATCTTTTCAATAGTCTTGCCTTGAGATAGTAGAAAAACCCAGCACTTCTCTTTCAAACTCGTAGTATATATATCCAAAATTGAATAGGATATCTTCCTTCAAGAATATATAATATTTTTCTTTTTGACTTTGGATCTTGAATATTTTCTTCAATATGAAGATCTCAATATATCTTTGAACTCCTATTATATTGGAGATATTCCTTTCTTGATCTTGGAAAATAATCTCCTTCCATAATATAGATTGCACTACATCCATAATATATTTTCTTTCCATAGAAAATATATTCTTCTTATATTGAAAATATTCCTTTCTTGATCTTGGAAAATAGTATCTTTCCATAATATAAATTGTACTACATCCATAATACATTTTCTTTTCATAGAAAATATATTCTTCCTTGGTCTTGAAGTATCTTTTCCATGTAGTATCTTTCTTCCATAAAATAATAGATTTTCTCCATGATTATTTTAGCAACTTTCCTTTCAAGATGTTGAAAAGCTTTCCATCCATAAGTTCCATAGATTCTTCTTCTGATATTGTAGTAAGCCATTCAATATTTGAAATTTCACTTTCAAATATTATTCCTTTTAGATTAAATCTCTGAAAATAATCTTCCTTGACGAATTCTTCACATGATATTCTCTTTCCCATATTTGTTTGGATCTTTACCAGTATTTTCTTTCCTATACAAGAATAAGATTACCACAAGTAAATGTTCTTTGATTAATAGTTATTTTGGTTTGTTATCATCAAAATTAATACGTGAAACCTTGAAGCTAACATGGTGGAGGTTCCCGAATCTTGAAGAACTCAGCCTCGGGATTGTAGGTGTATCTACTATTCCATTATTTCCCATACCAGAAGTTCATACTCGACTTCAATCTCTTGAACTATATCTCCTGGAAGCGTCAGGATTCGAGTCTTCAGTTGGATGGGCCAGTTGCTTTGTCTTCCCTTCAAATCTTAGGCATTTGTCGCTTCGCGGAATTTGTCTAACGGAAGAAATGGCTTTAAACATTGCAAGATTGCGGAAGCTTGAGAATGTGAAACTAACTAAGACAGAGTTTTTGGGGGAAAACTGTTGGGATGCCACAGATGTCGAGTTCCCTGCACTCAAATACTTGTCATTACTATGGTGTTATATGAGAGGATGGAATGCTTGTGAGGAATCCTTTCCCATTCTTGAGAAGCTAGTTATAGAAGGTTGTCGTAACCTCGAGCAGATCCCTCCTAGCTTTGCCGATATTCCAACACTCCAACTTATTGAAGTGGAAGACTGCTTGGACTCTGTTGAGGATTCAGCTACGAATATTAAAAGAGAAATAGAAGAAACCACTGGATGCGATAGTCTCCAAGTTCTTATATCAAAGAAGAAGTACAGACAACTAATTAAAGCTGGTAAGACAGTTCAACACTGCTAGCTTTGTTAATTACATGTGATATGGAAAACAAATTTTAGTAGCCTCTCATGTCTTGCGTAACAATTTTCAGTGACTTGAATCTTGCATACAGAAGTTCTACTGTACAATTACTACTATTTATATCATACTTAAGCAGCATATTAGAAAGTATATATAGAATGCTTATGTTTGTTCTTTGTCACAGCTACAGCCTACACAGTTAAAAAGATGAACTGAGTTATTCTGATACGCTTCATTCTGTATTATTTCAGGTTAGCAATGGGTTCTTAAATAAAAAAAGATGAAGTAGCAAGGAGGTTGAAAATATGATTAAGTACTATCCCTTCTAATTCTATGAACCATAAGGCTTTGGATAGCCACTTGAAAACAGTGAACTTGCAAAAGATCTGCAGAATAAATCTTCAACAAACTAAAATATCTCAACAACATTAACAACTATATATGCCTTAGTTCCAAAAAAGCCGGGAACATCGAATATGAATCCCCGTTTCTTTCTTTAAGCTCAACTCATATAATTAACAGAATTTTAAATTCGCTACAAGAAAATAATTTTTTTTCCCGACTACAAAAATAGCCGGAAAATAGTCCGAAAAGTATCTATTCCGACTATTTTCTGGCTGTTTTCACCTAGTCGGAAAATGATAGGTCGAAAAAACTTGTCCGACTATTGTAGTTTGCCAAAGATCCGAAAAGGTTGGTATTTTCCAACTGAAGTAGTAGGAATATTAATTAAATAATTATTTATTTTTTAAAATAATTCTGACAACCGTAGTCGGAAAGTTATATAAAAATAATAACTATTTATTAAACATTTTGACTGTTGTAGTCGGAAAATAGAGGTGTGAAAATAATTTTTTATTTTAGTTTCCGATTACCGTAGTCGGCATTTGCAGTTTCCTGGAAATCTTCAGAATAAAAATATACTTCTCCTACAACTAAACAAGTTAATAGACCTAATTAACGATTCACCATTCTTGTTTTGGAGTTAATAGTTAAGAGTATTACTGCCATTGGACTAGCAATTCTCGTCATACGTATTAGACTGTCTACTACTGAAATGTCCTATTGATATTTTGCTCCTAGACATGGCTTGCTCCAAATAGTTTATATGTCACAACAAACACGTTATTAATTAATTTGTTAGGGTTCTCGGTTTCTCCTTAACTAGTATAACTATAAATGCACTCTAGTATTGAATTTGAGCTTGATTAATGCATTTGGATGTAACTGGGCAAAAAACAGTGCATCTTTTTCATTTCAAATTAAGAAACAAATCATGTGAGATTAATGTTTAATTGAGGATTCTTTCCCCTCTCCATTTCTAACCTATTTAAAAATACAAATCATCTAACTCCATATACTCACAAATTCCTCATCATATCTCTATCAAAATGAAAGAAAACCAAGCAACATCCAAAAACAAGCACATTATGATTATCAATAAGCTCATATTATCTTGTATGTTTTTCATATTTCTCTTGTATTTAATACTGAGAACAAATTCTCCATCTTTCAAGCTAAAAAACCTACCAATAAACTCATCAACTTCTTCAACATGCAACAAGATTCCACCATCTCTAGCCGAAGCATTGTTCCACTATGCAGCTACCAATATTACACCCCAACAAAAACACGACGAAATTTCGATGACTTTTAGGGTACTTGAGAAGAAATCACCATGCAATTTCTTGATCTTTGGACTCGGATTTGATAGCTTAATGTGGAGTTCATTCAATCATAATGGACGAACTATCTTTATCGAAGAAGATAAAGATTGGATTGAGAAAATTACTAAAGAAGTACCTAACAAAATAGAAGCATACCATTACACTTATGAAACTAAACTTGATCAAGCCACTGAACTTCTAAATATTGGTAGAAGAGAAGATTCTTGCAAAATAGTTGGCGATCCAAGAAATTCTAAGTGTCCACTTGCCCTAAAAAATTTGCCAAAACAAGTTTATGAAATTGAGTGGGATGTTATAATGGTAGATGCACCAAGAGGTTCTTCATTTGATCAACCTGGTCGAATGAAAGTGATATATACTGCTGGATTATTGGCTAGAAATAAAGAAAATGGAGAAACTGATGTGTTTGTGCATGATTGTAAAAGGTATGCTGAAGATAAATTTTCAAGGAGTTTTCTTTGTGAGGAATATATTAGAGAGGAAGTTCGTTATCTTAGGCACTTCACTATCCCAAGTTATAGAAGTGGTTTAATTAAATCCTTCTGCCCTTGAGTCCTAGTCATGTCGATGGTGAAATTTTATCACGTTGAATTTTTTTTTCCTGTAGTCTTTTAATTACCGTATAGTTTCTAAGTGTGGGATGATAAATTGAGTCAAAAGATATACGAATGAGGGAATTTGTATGTGGAAAGCCAAAACTACTTGTATTTGTTTTAATTTTCTTGTTTTATGTATTTCTGAAAAGATTTGGTGTTGGTTAAAAAAAAAAAAAAAAATTTGGATGGTTAATACGTTGCCACTGCTAAGTTTTTTATTGGTCTGCATTAAGTATAGTTAGATTTGTCACAATCCGTTGAATAAGATCGACTCAAGGTTGTGAGAGTTCAAAAAAGAGAGAAAGGAAGTAACTCTTCTATATGAATCAAACCTATTCGCTGTGAAAGTCTGATCACGCCCCACTATGCCTTATAAAAAGAATTAAGCGGTCGTTGTAAATATAATCCGGTTTACAAGTCCGGAGTCGAATCCCACAGAAAACTAAGGCTTAGCTACAGTTGTTCAATATTGCTAAGAAACACAAAGTGCAAACAATTTACTAATTATAAAGATTATAATATTTATTTCTAACTAATTAACTAACAAATACTAAAAAGCAGTAAAACTATCAATTAACAAGGATAAGGATTGGAGATAAGATTACGGAGGTCTAGAGTTATGATTTTCCCTATTGTCGGAATCCTTTCCGCTGCATTTTTTATAAATTTGCATAGGTCTTCTCTACCGATCATGAGCACTCTGACTGTCGTAACTCTCTCCCGAGTAATTACCATAATTTACTAGACATATTCTCCCGAATTACGCTAGCTGGCATTAGGTACGGCTCACTCGGATCGCACCAAGGTTTCGTTATCCCTAATTCCACCTTTAAATCCTCCGTATTGATCCCTCATATACGTTAGGAGTGATGTTGTTCAACAACTACCTAAATATGCACTCTCTCCCGAGTAATACACACTAAATAGGCACAGTCAATTGAGAGCTCTTCAACCAACCACAATAATAACGTAATTGAACAAATAGAGAAAATACTACGGCAAAACTATATTAACGTAACAGGAAAATCATCCTCCAATAGGTTCCATCAAAACCCTAGATAACAAATTAGCTATTCATAATAGTATGCATAACTATAATACTAGAATTCATGACCAATAATGAAAATAGAAAGAAGGAAGTGAAAAACTCGTAGAAGAATTCTCCGCCTTGCTCCTAGTGTGTTCTTGCCTCCTTAGGTCGAATCCCCTCTCAAATCTGTCCAATCTCGATCTCTCCGTCCGATCTCTCGTCTGTCTAAAGTATATCAAAAGTGACGTTTTTAGGTCTATTTATATGTGTAGGAAAATACGTAAACATGTAGGCCAAGTCCTAGTCAAACCAGGAGACGAATTAAGTCTTCAAAACTAGGACTGGACCTTGCCCCAGGCCTGGCGTCGCCAACCAAACGCCAGCCTCAGCCTGGCCTTTGGCTGGCCTCGCCAAGCTAAAGCCTGGTTCAGCCAGACATTTGGCTGGCCTCGCCAGGCTAAAGCCTGCTTGAGCTGGCCTTTGCCTGGCCTCTCCTTTTCACTGTTCTCAAGCACACTTTCAACGTTTATGTATCTTTTTTGCTCTACTTTCATCTCCAATTCACCTACGCATAAAATAAACTCCATTACGCGCAAATAAAGTGTAATTTATCATTAAAGCATGTAAAATGCAAGGCACATAATGTGCTAAACGATGAATTATAGCCACACATCAATACCCCACACTTAAACATTGCTCGTCCTAGAGCAATCAAGCTACACTCATGGACACAACCTATTAAGCAATTCCCTTAACTCATTATACCAAGAATCTTTAAAATAGTTTAAGCACAAAGGTGTGACATCCTCGCCTCAAGAATCGACTCACAAATATCATGTCTTATTCACAATTCACTCACTTACTCTAACATGGAGGTCAATGACATTACCTTTCCTTCATGAATCAAGTGCCCTCACAATACAAAAGAGAGTAGTTCCACACACAAAATAAAATTTAAGAACAATTAGAAACTCAAGATAGAAAGAATTCACTACCTCTCAGAAATAACATTCATATGCCACAAATGATGCAACATAGGCTTGCCCGTAGTGTAATACTACTCTACTAATCGAGCTCATTCAGTCTAGGAACAAGTAGGACTTTAATTGGTTGTAATATAGGCTGCGGGTTGGGTCAGATACATTTGAATATAAGAGTGACTACACCTCCCTAAGCACTTTAATACATATACTTTAACATTCAAGCCCATACTTATGTCAAACCATAACTCCACCTTCACATCAATGTATATTAACTCCCAAATTATTTAAGCACAATTACATCAAGGGTTACCACTTGTCAATGAATATCTGCACACAACATTTTTTTTTCCTTTTCTTTTCTTTTTCAATTCAAGTGGCTCTTACTTTTTTTTCAACACAGTGCATCTTTCTCCTTATCTCGTTAGTTCCACTCAAAAGTCAAACCAACCACCCCATACTTTAACTTTTACATAGTTCATAACAATTCAAGTGCTCATGAGAGGTGAAAAGGTTCAAATAGATGGTTAACTCAAACGATTGGGTAAGGCTTGTAATATGGTTGCCAAAGAAACAGGATTACAGTCTCAAAGGGGTTAACAACGATACATAACAATTATGCGGGTAAAATATATATACATATATCTGGTTCAACAAAGAAACGCCTATATCACTTCCAAGACTGAACAAAAGTACTATTTCGCTTTGCACACAAACGGGGCAAGTTCTAGACATCAAATACAATGCACAGAATAACACAAAACCTTACACACACATGACACATAACTCATTCAGGATTGGTTTTTATCAAGACACTCTAGTCAAAGCAGTTAAGCAAATTTAAGAATCTACGATTTAAGGTATTTATCCTAGAGTCAAATATTGAGCTTAAGCGTCACAACCAGAGTACTGACTATTCTCAAGGCATCACAAAGTTCAGAGATATTGTTGCAATTTAATTCATCTCACACTACTCCTAAAAAAATAAAACTAACTACACCCGGTTCAAACAAAACTCTTGGAAAAGAACCGCGGCACAAAGAAAAACCAAGGGGAAATTACTACACTACCTACAAAGAAAATCTTTTTATCTTTTTTTTTTTCTTTAGACTTAAATCTCTCAAGAAAATTGTCTAGGATATCCATCATCAGGAAAACTCCAATCTTTTCTTTTTTTGTTTTTCTAAAAAAAAATATATTCAATTAAACTAACATAACCAAAATAGCATAGAAAGTCACCAAACAATCTCCTCACCCCACACTTAAAATTGCGCATTGTCCCCAATGCATACCATACTAATAAGAGGGTAAAAGAAACTCCCTGGTAGGCCAAAGGCCGAAGCAGTAGAAG